AGTTTTCTGCTCCTTTATTTTGCTCACCTGTTTGAAGCATCTTATATTTTTTCATATGATTTGTTATTGTCTGCTCTCTCTGAGGCATTAAGGTGTTATTTTATTTATGTATGTATGGATTCATTGATTGCATGTTTGTTCCTCTTCTCCTGATTTTTTGTTTTGTTCTGACTACCAGGGAGGGCAGGGTAGGCAGTATCTGCTGATCGCTAGTCTGATGGCAAAGGAACGCTCACTACCTATCTCTTGGTGGGACAGGCAGTGGTTGAGTAAAGCAATCGCATGTTGGTGTTCACCAGGCATGCTAGGGAGCTGAGGGCAGACCACTGTCAGTCCAGCAGCAGATGCTCTGCTGCTCACTGTATAAGCAGGGTAGCAGGCAAGGGCAGGTGGGCAACCAGAAGCCCAAGATGATCACTGCCACTCACTGAGTAGGTATAGCAATAGTGAGGGAGGGTGTGTGTGCTGAGCAACCAAGAGCACCATGAATTCACTGTCAGTTGCTAGGTGGGTGGGGCAGTGGGCAGGGGTGTATAGCAGGCAACTGGGAGTGCAAAGTATTCTCTGCTGCCTTCTGAGTGGGCAGGCATGGGCTGCAGGCTGTGGCAAGTGACCAGAGGCACAGGACCACTTACTGTAACTCAAGTTGGCAGAGTGGCAGGGATGGCAAATGGGGCAGGTGTGGGAGTTGTTCATGTTACTCATCACCAGGAAGGTGAGGGGAGAGGGAGCATGCTTCTCTGGTCAACAGGTAGTGGGTGCCTGAGCACTTCCTATTGGCTGCACCCGGCAACTGGCCTGGCCCCAACCAAGTGCAGGGTGGGAAGGTACTGTGCCTAGCCTAGCCAGAGGGAGGACCTCCTGCTAACACTCTATGTATCTATTACTCTGTGTATACCACCCACCACAAGGGTCAGGCATTGCTACTGGTAAGCAGTCCTGTCCGGATCCTGGTTCCCTCCCTGCTCTGTGGATCCCAAGATCCCTATTGCCTTTCTTTCTGTACTTTTCCTCCTTAGATGCAGTTTATGTTCTGCTCATCTTGCTTCACTCTAGGGATGTCTACACATTTTCTCTACCTCCTATTGGAGATTCTGTGAAGTTGCTGTCCTATTCTCACACAAGATCACTGCTGGCTTTGTGTCAACATGGACATGCTGTGCCAGGCCACTAGCAGGGCACTTCTGCTCCATCTCTCTTCTCATTCGCTATTTTCATTCAGTTTCTTTGTCTAGTCGATGTTCCATCTAATTCTCTATCCTTCCATTTGATGTTCAGGGTTCCAAGACTGTCATCTGTATCCACTTCACTTGGTTTCTAAGATCTTTGCTATACAGGGATGCCATGGTATGTCAGATTAAGATACCATTTTGAACCTTGACTATCAAGGTACTTAATGTATAATCTCAAAGCTGCTTATCAAAGTATAAGGAAATTTTATTAACCAGAAAAATTTTAAATCAGTTGTTGTTATGTGCCGTCGAATCAGATCTGATTCATAGCGACCCTTCCTTGGGTTTCTGAGGCAGTACCACTTCCGGAAGTAGACTGCCCAACCCTCCTTCCGAAGAGTAGCTGGTGGGTTTGAACTGCCAGCCTTCTGGTTAGCAGTCAAGTGCCTTAGGCACTATGCTACCAGAGCTCCCTTTTAAATCAGTTAACTATCTCAAAAAAAATAAATAATATAAAATAAAAATATATATCCACTGCCACTGAGTTGGTTCTGACTCATAGCAACCTCCATTGGATTTCCAAGGGGGTAAATCTTTACAGAAGTAGATTGCCTCAACTTCCTTCCACAGAGCAGCTGGTGGGTTTGAACCTCCAACCTTCTGGTTAGCAGTCAAATGCCTTAAGCGTCACAGCACCAGAACTCTATGTATATAATATCTATTATAGATAGCTAGATAGACACATATATCATAGCCACAAACATAATTTTAAAAGTTTTTCATTAGTTTTCAGCAGAACAAGTGTTTCTTTAAATGTCTCTGCCCCTCTAAAGTACCTCATTTAAAAAAAAAAAAAAAAAATCCACTACCACTGAGTCAATTCTCACTCAAAGTGATCCTTTAGGGCAGAGTAGACCCGCCCCACAGGGCTTCTAAAGCTTTAAATCTTTGCGGAAGCAGACTGGCACATCATTCTCCCATGGAGCAGCTGCTGGGCACAAAACGCTGACCTACTGGCAACCAGCTGAATGCTTTAACACTGTGCCACCAACTCAAAGGGACCCCCGCTAAGTTTCCAAGGCTGCAAATCTTTATAGAAGTAGACTGCCTCATCTTCCTTCCACAGAGCAAGCTGAAAGGTTTGAACCACTGACCTCCTGGTTAGCAGCCAAATGCCTCACCTACTATGCCACCAGAGCTCCTTAAAAGCTTATTCAATATGGGTATTAGTGACAGTTGTACAATATGACTGATAGAATTGGTTTTATTGAGCTATGCACATGAAGAATGTCAAATTGGCAATGTTGTATTCTCTATATTTTTACAACTAAAAATATAAATTATTTTACAATTAAAAAAAAAAAGGCTTACTCATTACTCATAAAAGATTTCTTTTCCTGAAAGTTGGCTCTAATTATACCATTTCTATGCTCAAAATCCTCATCCACTGCCTACAAGCAAAATTCAAGTTTCCTAGCCTAGTGAATTCAACATCCTTGGTGATATGCCTTCTTTTCATCTCTATTTCCCACTATTTTCCTTGTTCATACCTTCTGTTCCAGGTAAAACTCTGGTAGCATTGTGCCTAAGGCACTTGACTGCTAACCAGAAGCCTGGCGATTCAAACCCACCAGCCACTCTTCAGAAGGAAGATGGGGCAATCTACTTCCGTAGTGATACTGCCTCAGAAACCCAAGGAGGGGTCGCTATGAGTCGGGTGCGACTCGATAGCACATAACAACAACATTCCTAAATACATCCTTCTTCATACCCAACTTCACACTGTTGTTGTTGCCGTTGAGGGTTTTCGCGGCAGTATCACTTCGGAAGTAGATTGCCCCATCTTCCTTCCGAGGAGTGACCAGTGGGTTTGAACTGCCAGCCATCTGGTTAGCAGTCAAGTGCCTTAGCCACCATGCTACCAGAGCTCCCCAACTTCACACTACCATTATGTTATTGTTGTTGTTATGTGCCCTCCAGTCGGCCTGACTCATAGCGACCCCTCCTTGGGTTTCCTAGGTGGTATCACTACGGAAGTAGACTGCCCAATCTTCCTTTCGAGGAGTGGCTGGTGGGTTTGAACCACAAGCCTCTGGTTAGCAGTCAAGTGCCTTAGGCACTACACTACCAGAGTAGTATGCTAAAATATATTTGATTTTACTTGTATTTTCTATTGGGCTAGTATGCTTAATGCTGACTTAAAATACAGACTGCCTCCAAGATATTTAAACCTTCAAAAAGTAAGAAATTTGTAAATATGTGCCCTAGGATCACTACTGCAGTGAAAATTCTTTGTCTACAGAACTTTAACACAACTATGGCAAGAAACAAATCTAAGACTGAGTAAATCTACTTGGCAACCTAAATTACAGTTCAGGATTTTTAAATAAAGTACAAAAATCCCTCTCTGAAATCTCAAATTCTTAATGAGGAAAAATTTTTTAAAGCATGTCTGGGATGTAAAACAATCTTTACAACATATAACGCTGAGAACAATCTGTTTAAGTATCACTAAAGTGTACATTCCTATTCATAACTCCTTACTAGAATCACTATATAGAACAGGAAACAAAACAAAAAAAAGATCTTAGGGCAGGACAAATAGCTGTGGAGCTATTTACTCTTATTTTATATATTATTTCTAACAAGTTCCATAAATTTATTTCCAAGTCCAGAGTCAGTAAGAAGCAAATTAGGTGATGGGAAGCTGCCTACACATGCTGAAAGCAAAGAAAAGTAAAAGTTGCCAGCCAAACAGAAAAGAAAGAGGCGGAACAAAATTAAAAAGCAAAGCAAAGAACTCAAAAATTAGAGCAGTCTGAGACTTTAGCAAAGCAGACCAAAGTTCTACTAAAGTTTACTAGGCCTTAATGGCTTCATTAAGTGATAACATGTAACAATAATGCTCATGATACAAAATCTTAGTTGTTAAGTAACTTACTTACGATCCTTAGTTAGTTAAGAAGTTGTGATAGCATTTAGAAAGGCTTTATCATCCATAAATTTTGGTTCTTTAAATAGATAACCCTAAATTCCTCATATAATTCAATTGTTAGACTACTCCATTTATACAAAATACTCCATTTCTCTGAGACAGTTACAGAATGAAGATTTTATTCCAATTTAGACCAAATACTTATGCCTTTTTTATTAGTTATTATCAATATATATGGATTAATATGACCTTACAAATGATACAAAACAATGACAACAGTAAGCAACAGAGAAATTCCAACACTTCTTTATTCCTTACACTTCCCTTAAAATGTAGTAAGTAAAACTCACCAAAATACTTGCCCCACAAATATCATGTAATATTTGGTACTCCTACCTGGAGATGAAATTTTAAATGCCTTTCTTTAGGTTCTTAAATCTCAGATACTAAATATTTATAAACCAAAAGTTAAGAAAATTAAATGTCATGTTCACTCCAAATACTCAAAGTTAATTCCAATTTCAGTGTTTTAATTGTGGCAGTTCCGAAGACTGCCAAACTCGACTTAACTAATCGAGTTAATTTCCTGTATCACTAAAAATTAGACTATAACATTTATCATTATCAAAACCATCCTGTCACCACTACTACTCTTCTATCAACAATGGCAATAATGACCTGAGTTGATACAATTCTTAAAGATCATCTAACAAAACAATCTAGGAAAGCTCATAAGGTATTAAAGTTATCCCAACTATCAAGTGACAACAGAAATGCGTATTATTTCTAGTTAAGTATGCATCTACCACTCATCTAAAAGTTCACTATTAATTCAAGTGAAAATTTAAATAAAGTGTATTATCTTCACTTAGTTGGTACACAGTATGACTTGCCATCTCTGATACAAAGTAGCGCCTCTGAACTTGGCATATACCAACCTGCATGATGATAGATTTTTCACTCATTTTCCATGTTTAACTGACCTTCTTAAAAGCAAATTTGAAAGACCAGCAAGAAAAGCAATGCAATTAATGAGCTCTTACAACATTCTAGCAGCAACAACACCCATTCCAATGGGTAAAATCTACCAGAAATTACTAAACCCAACTCTGAATTCCAATTACACACTTAAAACAAAAACCCTGTAGTGGGTAAGCCTATTCATTTAGCCTCCAACAGTCTCCAACTCACCACAAAAAAAGAAACGCGACTGAATCCCTCCCATTCAAAAGTGTTAAAATGGCCTAGCCAGTCACAGGTCTATTTCTAGACTGGTCAAACATTCAGAAATGAATATTCTCTGAAAATCACCGTAATTTTTTTAACAGAAAAATGATATACTAATGATTTTACTGATTTAAAATGATTTTACCAGAATATGCTATTGTAATTCTTAACAGCCATTTCCTAAAAAGTTAGCCAAATAAAAGTTCAAAGGTTTTTTTTTCCTCGTCTAGAGAAAACTAGAATAGTTATTTAAATGTTATCTGGGAAAAAAAAAAAAATTGATCCTGAGAGATTACAATGCATTTCAGCTCTTTTGAAGTATTGGTTTGCATTAAATGACTCAGGAATTTGAGGTCAGTTTTATAGGATGCACAAGATTTACATAATTTTAAATTTCCAAAGAAATTTTATAGTCGAACTGGTCCTCTCTTCAAATGGACTTTTTTTTTTTTCCTGCAAGATGAATAGTCCTCCTTTTCTTAAGAGTATGAAGACAAGTACAAAATACAACACCTGCATACGTTATTTGCAAAATATTAACTAAAGGTCTCTAAGCAAGACAGCCGGGAAAATAAATATATCATGGTTAGGAATAGCTTGTATTTGTATTACTGTTTTATGTAACAATGAGTAATTATGCTGCTATTGATTTATCTTCTAAATCCCTAAAGAGAATGCAAGAGTACTGAGAGAACTCTAGCAATCCACCACAAATGTGGAAGAGACAATGGACACGGGACAAACTAAACAAAAGGAAAGGATGGCAAGGTCAGGTGTGAAAGCATTTGATAGACAAGTTTTAAGGAAATAAACTTATTTCCATTCAGTAAGTGGAGTGGGAAGAGTGGTTAAAAGGAATAGAAAAATTGTTTCTTGTTTGGAGTTGCGAAGATAAAAAACTAATTTCATTTTTTTAATTTTCAAAAATTAATTAAGCTCTAACAATTACAAAACAGTGATTAACCAATTACTTGTCACAAAATCTTTGCCTAGCTTGGCGGCCACATACTGACTAGTCCTGGAAGGCAGGACAGCTAACTAGGAAATACAACTACAAGTGCCTTCCACCCTCCCCCACTCTGCCTTGTGCTTTTCCGTTCCTATCCGGAGAGGTCATCCAACGAAAAAGGGAGGTGGAGGAGCATCAATACCCCAAACCAGGCTCTTTTCTTCTTCTTTTTCTTAATTCTGTAGGAGAGCAAAACTCTTCTTTCACTTTTTATTTCGCCGTTAGTATTCATCATAAAGTCCTGGGTTTTCAATTTCCTAGTCTTTCCTTCCCATTACAAAATCTACTCCAACCACTAACCGACCTAAAACTGCCATGAGGTTATGAGAGGGATAGATACTGCCGCAGACTGAAACTCCTTAAGAACTCATCCATCCTTGCCAGTGAATATTCCCTTTCCCCACACCCTTCAGTGCCACCTCCTCTTCGGGGAAAAAACAAAAAAGCAAAAGATAACGACGAAAGCACCAACAAGGAAACGCAAAACCGCAGGCCGGCCGGCTCGCCTTCCGAAGGCAATACCCCAGTCGCCTGCAAACCGGCGGGTTGAGGAAAAGAAACACAGACACGCCGACTCTACGCGTTCACGTCGAGGGTAAACCCACACCTCAGAGATTCACAAGTTGGAGAAGAAAGACGACAATGAAATAAACTACAAGGAAAACTGGGGAAGGAGACTGAAAAACCTGCCACAATGCAAGGGGTCGTGCGGGCCGGAGCGCCGGTGGCCGCTGCCGCCCCTGCCTCGGCCGCATAGACTTCCCGGGAGACCCGGGGCCGGGGCAGAGGCCGACTCCACCGCTCCCTAGACCCGCATCTGGCCCGCACACGCTCGGGATCTCCGCGGCCGCCGCCAGGAACTCACCGTCAGGCCGGTGCCCAGCACGATCACGTCGTACTCCTCATTCATGGCGGGGCCAGGCAAAGGATGGAACACCAGAAAAAGGAGAAAGCGCAGGGATTTTAGAGCGTGAAGCGGGTTTTATATCAACCCTAAGGGGTTGGTGAAAGAGCTAAGGTCGATTTTGGGGCCCAAGAGAAAAAGGAAGACAGGAGAGGTAAAATGGAGCTGAGAAAGAGGCGAACCCGCCCGCCACCTCAGACCTGAAGAGAAGAGCCGGGAAGGGAGGGGTGAAAGAAGGAGCGAAAGGAGGGTGAGAGAGGCGGAGTCCGCAACCACAGCTCTCCGCAGACTGGGGGCGGAACTTATAGGGAGATGCGATGGGCGGCCATCCATCACGCTCCTCCTTCTCTCTCATTGGCTATTTCCCTATTACTCCCCCAACCTTCTTCCTCTCCCACTTCACGCGAGAAGAGGTTGGGGCGTAAACAGCTTGAGTTCCCGTTGCCTCTTGGGTCCTCTGCCACAGTGTTTGAGGGGCGCTGGGGGTGGCTTGATTCTGGCAATAAAGTGAGAAGGAAGTGTGGCCAGAAGCTAGAGAGTGGCTTTTAACTGCTCTCACAACTTCTGTGGAAACTCAGTTGCGTCCAAAGTCTCTGAGCCATCTGGGTTTTGGTGTATAAGGTGAGCAGTACTAAAACTCACTACCATCGAGCCGGATCCTACTCATAGCAACCCCTCCTTGAGTTTCCGAGGCGGTTTCTCTATGGAAGTATATTGCCCTACCTCCTTAGAACGATCAATCATGCGAGATCTAAAGGCAGAGTTTGCCCAGGGATAAAGCTCAGAGGGCAGGAAGGGGTAGAAAAGGACACGAATGGAAAAGTAAACACAGGGAGGAAGTGGGAAGAATGCTGTAGCATTGTGAGGATTGCGGTCAGTGTCACGAAAACAAAATGTGTGAGTTGTTGAATGGAAAACCCATTTGCTTGGTAAACCTTCACCCAAATAACAATAAAAAGTTCACAAAAAATAAGTCAGGCACATAATAAAAGAGTGTCAGGCCATCTTCATTGTATAAATTTATTCACATGGTGTCCCTATTCATACCAAGGTGAGAAGAAACTCAAACCTTGTAAAACTTGAGCACGTTTTTAAGAGCATTTTCTTTTAAAAGCCATTACTGTAGTGTGGATTTATCATGTACCCTATAAAACAGAATCCTAACCTGTTTTTGTCTGTTTCCCAAAGTAGTGCATGCGATTCTTGAGACTTCTAACAAAGACACAACTTAGAGAATTAGGAGAAATGGTTCCCTTATTTTCAGGGGCCTGACTACAAATTTTTCTTCTCTACTTTTTGGATACTGCTTAAATATAGCAAAAGGGTTTCTAATTTTTATACTCAAGTAGAAGAAAATGGGTTTATTGTTTGTGTATGGGTTTGTGTAATCATTAATGGTAAATGTTGCTGATCTATGATATAAAAATGGATCTTGTCCACATTTATGCATACGCTTAAGATAGTATATATTATATAAAAAGTACACATTTTTCATAAGCTTTTATATATGGAACTTTATTTAAACAATGTTGGAATATGTGCTGTACAGCTTATTTCATTTATTTAATAAACAAATAATATATTTTTTTTAAAAAAGTCTCTGAGCCATACTGCTACCTTTGGACTTTGAGCTGGTGCGCTCTGTCTTGTGTTGCCTGCAGCCACGTGGGATATGGGGTACGGGGACTCAGCCCAGCTGAGTATCTGGGAAAGCGCAGGCGCTCTGCTGCTTGTGCAAGGATCGCGGACTGGGGAAGACCCATTTCTTAGCCCCGCAGACCCTACTTCTGTGTGGCGGATTTGCAGCTTCTTTACTTCATGCGTGGCCTGGGATTGCAGACTAGGGAGGTTACGTAATGTAGCGTGACACTCTTGCCTACGGACCAGACAGGCTAGTGGGAGCGGCTGCTGGGTGTGTGCTCCAAACGTCCAAGCAACTCCAACATCCGGGTGTGTTTTGAGCACTAGCCCCATTTGCTCCTATTTTCGCTATTTGTAGCTTACTCTTTTCTTTTCTTCCTTATCTGCCTTTTTTTTTGTGTGTGTGTGTGTGTGTGATTTGGGTGAAATTTTACAGAGGAAATTCACTTTCCATAGAGCAGTTCACATACACTTTGTCTCTTGGCATTGATCACAATTTACCACACTGCAACATCTCCCCTCCTACTTCCTCCCAATAGTTACCTCTTCCCTGTGTCCATCCCTCCATGCACTCCTGCCCCCTGAGCTGTCTCCCTGTGCATTAACAGCCCTTCTTTCTCCCATGATTGTTCTCTCCAAGGAGTGCATCTACCTCAGGTAAACGTTCAACTCATATGCCTGTCTTTTGTTTGGCTGGAAGCCACAGGTGTGGGTTCAATTCCAGCCCTGAAGGGCACCTGGGGGCCATAGTCTCAGGCTCTATCAGACCAGCAAACCTGGTCCCCCCTTTTTTATTTCCATATGATTTTGAGCTTTGTTCCCCATTGTTCTCCCTCTATGCAGGATCTCCTACATAGATCCCCCTCAGAGTGATTGACAGTGGTAGCCATGCACCACTTAGTTATTCTGGTCTCATAGTCTTATAGGCTGAGGATCACATGCTGTACCAGTCATTTGGACTAATTGCTTCCATGAATCTTTAGTTTTCTTCATTCTTCTTTGCTCTGGATGAGGAGAGACCCATCGTTGCATCTAGATGGCTACTTGTAAGCTTTTAAAATCCCAGTCACTACTCGCCTAAGTAGGACGTGGAACAATGTTTTGTGTAGTATGTTATGCCAATTGAGCTTGATATCCCCTGTGACTATGATCCTGAGTCCACGGGTTCAACTACTAGGTCCCTC